CATAAGATTTTCAAAGGTACATCATTTATACAGGTCTCCAAAAACTTTAAAACTTTGAAGTGCGAAATGTAAGTAAAGAGAAAAAAATACCTGTAGATCTTTGATATGTAGGATATGCCCATAAGAAACGTCTTCTATCCTATAGCGAGAATTGAAATCCACTTCAGAGTGACCTTGATTATCCGTAAGATTTGGTAGTAGAAACTCAACAGCTGCAATCAAATATAGTAATCAATCAGCAAGTGCACGATATGTCATAAGAAAAAATGTAATCAACAAGTTAATTGTGGGCACCAACTAGTTAGCAAGTTGCTCAACTTTTGTCAAAAGAGTTTTCTCATATTAGGCAAGGCAAATTGTAGAGAGATTTACTGTCTCGCTGCTCACCTTCATTCATAATATCAGAACATGTTAATCGTACTTCTTCTCCAGGATCAACTTCCACGAAATCCCCAATTGTTGGATCATGCTAGCAAGTGAATAGATTGAATGCGTTTAGGGATTGATAAATAAATGACAGATTACAAAACCAAGCTATACCTGAGTCTCCTTATCCGATTCAAGGGTAGGCGGTGAGAATGCATGGATGCTAACTAGCAGGGCAAAATAAACTACGTCAAACAGCATGTGCGATCGTCCTCATGAATTTTCTGGAACTGGCTATGTTTTTTTTTTTCTGCAGGAAAAATCGAGCGTGCGCAGCAATGTGACCGAAGAACGAATGAGTGAAACTTCGACTCGACGCAGCAGAGGCAGTGATTCCACTAACTCATGACACTATTACGCTATTTTCATGGATTGTGAGTGCAGTCTAGTGCAGCAATTCTGACCAAATTGAGTAGATTTCTAACGTAGTTAAACTGTTCGGATGTCAGATCCAAATGAGGTAATGGCACCACTATGTGTAATTGTCGCCAGGGGTTGGACAAGGTCATTGAAACGAAACACAATAACCCAAACGGGCAGCAAAAGGAAACTTGTCCGGAGCAAACAACAACAACACCACACCCTCCTCCTAATCCGTCAATTACTGTCATTGAGTTATAGACAGTGCCATTATAAAATGACCTAGACGCGTTTTGATAAGGTAGCGGGTTGGGTGGAGGTTGAGAACCACAATAAGGGCTGTTATAATCATGATAGTAGCAGTAAAAGATAATAAAGTGCCTTCTAGATATCCTTTCCTTTCCTAACAGTTTGAATACCTTCAAACATTCTTCAAAATTTTAGGAAAAAAACACGATGTAAAAACTCAGACCAATCATGGATGCACCGTCGAATATCACAAGGCTTGAGATAAAAAGCTAGGATGTT